TTGCCTTCCACCATTCCAAAAGATCAAATGTGCCGTCTGGATTCTCCTTTTCGAGTCCCTGCGACAAATAAACTTGAAGCTCATTTAGATGTGAAGTCTTATCAAAATTATCACCTTGAGAACCCCTGAACTCCGTCCAAGAACTAAGTGCTTTTAGGCTCGCAGTTCTTTTAGACGATTGTGAACTAGACGAAGTAGGGGTTGGAACATTTGGCCTAGCATGATCTAAGGCTTGTTGATAAGCATTATAAATTGTTTGAGCATTTATTTTAATTGAGGTTTTTTCCTCTGCAAGTGTAGCAAATTCCTCATTTGAAAGATCTAAAGTCTTATAAATATTTGAGTACCAAAAGTGAGGACCTCCTAATTTCATTGTAGGATTTAACATTGCAGCAACACCATAAATAGGGGGGATAGGGAAAAAAAATATTTTTTAAACTTTTCTTTCATACATTTATAGCAAGTTTATAAATTTTCCCACCCTCCGAAAATTCAACAAACAAATCACATAGTGCTGCAATATAAACTAAACAGTTTGAAATAGTAGGATAGTATTGCCAAACAATTCATTTGTAGCTTGATGAAATTGTTGTAAAAAATCTATAAGAATTTTAACATTATTCCAATCTTGATTTGTAAGGATTTCATCATCATCCTCACCACCAACACGAGCATTAAACGTTGCATTAATTGGATTTCTATATTCATATGCAACTACTAAACTTTCGTACATACAATTCCATCTAGTCGGACAAGGTTTAGGAACCTTTCTTTCTCTAAGGCCAAATTCATCATATTTTTTAAAATACTCTCTAAGTCTACTTCTACGGTTTGAATAAAAAAGCCGATTAAGAGCCATTTTAACCTTTTCAATTTCTAAATTTAAAATTCTCATACCATCACCAACGATTAAATGGTAAATATGACAAACACATCTAACATGGAAACAATTACTAAATGCAGGATTTAGTGTTGCTGTAAGTATGCCTATAGCATTAGTGTTACTAGAAGCATTATCTATAGAAATTGCCATTATTTTATCTCTAATGCAAAAATATCTACAAATATCTGCAACAGTGTTAGCAATAAACTTACCTGTGTGACGTGAATTAATTATTCTATAAGCAATAATGCGTTTTTGCATTATCCACTCCTCATCTATCCAATGACTTGTAACAATTAGATAATCAAAGTCATTATTACTTCTACCAATATCAGTAGTAATAGCAATCCGAAAATTTATATGAGTAAATAAATACCGCAAATATTGTTCATATTCATGTTTATATTTATAAATATCGCTCTTTACGGTTGCGTGAGGCCAACTTTTATAAGTAGGATTAAAAACTTTTCTAATATAATGCACAAAGTTAGGGTTAGAAGGAAAACTATAGGGTAAGCACATAACGGTAACCATCTTTGCTAATTCTTCACGATCTTTATTTGGATCGTAATATAAAATACCACCGGTCACAGTGTAATTCCTGGTTGAACTAGATTTAAACCTGTATTAGGGTTAAACGTAGTATCTACACTTGTCCCCTCTAGCTGCGCTTTCATTTGTAAAAATTTAGCTTTATCTCTAGGGTGTGTTTTTATGTGCCTAGCCAAACGACCCGTACTGCTACGGTCTCCAGTAAATTTATGCGCCAGCAAACTCCCACAAGTTTTACACTTAGTCTTATTTTGTTCTCTTAATTGAGTAAAAAAATTCCAAACAAGTGATGTTTCGGGGCGTTTAGAAGGTTGTCTATTAAAAGTAGGGGTTTCTACAGGTGGGTCGGGCGGGGCATCAGTTGGGTTATTAACAGGACTAGTAGGTGTATCATCTAAATCCGGTTGGGTTTCATCTACATCATTATTTTCATCATCATTTTCAAAAATAGTTTCATTAGGATAAAGAGCATTCATAACTTCATCATTTAATTGTTGACCTGGTGCAACATTATGGCAAAATTCACTATCGGAAAATTGAAAACAAGGGTTATCACTATCAAGAATAATAGGTGCAGGAGGACGGGTAACAGGTCTGGGTCGGGGAGCCGGGGGAAGGGTAGTAGGTTGGCGACTACTTTCACCAATTTTAGATTTTCCCTTACCACCAAACATTTTTTTCAAAGAAAATGCCATATTAATTAGCCTTAAAAATTAATATGCAAACTAAAACACACAAAAATATATTCTTAAAACTTAAGAGTTGCAAGAGTTTACCGAATTGTCGAACAACTTCTTGAAAATTGAAAATCGTTGAAGACTTGAAAACTTGAATACTTCAATTCACCAACTTCACAATTTTTCACGAAATTGCAATAATAAAATAAGCAATTATAGAAGAGAATTAGATATAGATTGAGAGAGATTGATGAATTTGTGAGTAAAAATGAAAGAATGAGGGGGTATTTATAGTTGAGAATTGGGAAAAGTGTAATTATATAAAGTTTGGGCGCCAAATGGCTATTTTTTAAAAGTCCCAAACGGCTCTTTTTTGATGGCCAACGGTTAGATTTTAAAATCTGACCGTTGGTCATTTTTTAATTTTTTTTTTTAAATTATAGCCGTTGAGGCCCGTTAGGCCCGGTTGAACCGGCCCAGGCCCGCCAGCCGGTCCCCGGCTCGTGGGCTAAATGTACAAGACCGGCCCGCTACGGGCTTGGAGTACCATTTGGGACCGGCCCACTGAGACCGGCCCAATAGGCCCGTTTGGCCCGCGGTCCGGTCCGGTCCGGTCCCGGGCTGGGCCGGCCCACAGTGCACCCTTATATAAAGCACACACTTTGCCATGTCAGCGTGAAGGGTTCACGAGGTCGTACTTTAGTGGAGAAGAAGTGTCCAACTGAAAATAGGCTCAGTTGAGGTGTTCAGTTGGTCGTTGAGGACAACTTCAAGGGGCCGTTTATGTATTTCGCCTTAATTATATTTGCTACTCCTTAACATCTGAAACTCGAGTTGTATAGAATTAAAATGCACGCAGTAGCAGAATCCCCTCTCATAACCATATGATGTAAACAAGTTTATCTAAATAATTTTGCATCACAAAACTAATAAGACATGCCATCATCCCCTGCTCTTTCCTAACTCCCAATTCATACTTACCTCAATCCCACTAGGATATAACGCTATGAATATGATCTACTGAGCATTCAGAATTTGTCAGTCCACAGAGAACTATATGTACAAAGATTTATGTTGTTGTTGATTCTTGAGACATATTCGTGTTGTTGGATGCACTTTGAATCTGTCAATACAATAAGACCTCGGACTGTGCCAATTATGCTATCCACAAAAATTGCCTTACAAATGATTAATTTTATAATTAAACATATGGTTGCCTCCAAATTATAGAGTGAGTTTAAGCAAAGGCAAGGGGAAAAAAGAGTAAACTATGGATTCAGTTGTAAAGCTAAATTAGTCACTGAGGTGCTAAACTAGTTCCCTGCTCGTCGATAGCACAACCTTCTCGGGAAACTGTTCCACCCACTCTCGTTGGAGGCCAATATCGGAATATGGATCTGCCAATTATGTTCTTTGCCGGGAGGGGACCCCTAATTAAACAATTTCATACTTTTGATATAAGCATAGTTATGGATATGGCTATTCACAAGATACCTTCAGTTTCAAGACCGAGTAAACTTACCACACATGTGAATCATAGCTGTTATTCCTATTATCACCCATCACAAAAACTGAATTCTCAGGCACCCTCTGCAGAAAACAATAGAAACTGTAAGAAGAGGAGATATTTTCTGACACACCATGTGGAGATAAAGTACAGTTCCATGACCGCTGACTTGCTTAAAGAGTCATAGCTGTGGACGAGCCAATACTTACGATTATTCAACACTTGCTTAAGTTTCCATTGTTAAGAAAGAATACGGGGAAGCTGACTTCCGAATTAGCCGAGTTAAACAAAAACAATGTAACATACCACTGGGGTCATTTCATATTTTGGCGCCTCAAGAACAAAATCTTCATTCCTCACAACACCATTTACAATTAGCTTTCCATTGTGAACCTGCACCAGAAAGAATAATCCAAAATACTTCATTTATGTTGCCAAGAATTGGTCCATATAAATGCAAAGGTGAACCAAACAGGAACATGCATTTTGCAAAAGACCTCAGTTGCACTATTGGAGATCATATTGGTAATTACTGCAGTATATGAAAATATTATAGGAATTAATCTAGCGTTGGGGAAAGAAGAGATAATGTAGTATAAAGAAATGCTAATAAGAGTGGACCTAACATTGAAAAATGCTAGAACCATAATTACTACTCCCTCTGTTCCAATTTATGTGAACCTGTTTGATTGGGCACGGAGTTTAAGAAAAAATGAAGACTTTTGGAATTTGTGGTCCTAAACAAGTTAAAAAGGGGCCCAGAGTATTTGTGTGGTTATAAAAGCTTCTCATTAAGGGTAGAATTGTAAGTTTAAGCTAAATTGTTTCCAAATTTAGAAAGGGTTCATTCTTTTTGGAACGGACCAAAAAGGAAATAGGTTCACATAAACTGGAACGGAGGGAGTAGTTGTTCTGGTAAATAGAATATGTAATAATTGTCATGTGCATGAAGAGAAACAGCTAAGCAAGTTTGAATCAATACCATTAGTCCTCTCCATTTTTTCCTCTATGAGAATTCAATAATGAAAATCTACGAATATGATGTGAAAAATCGCAGTCCACTGGCATTCTTTGTTGGATCAAAAAGAGAAAGAAAAACCTTTCCCCCAACCTTCGTAGAGCAAGACTTGGACAATACAAAAGTCTGGTGAGGTTTAAATAGAAAAATCCTTTCTCCATCCATGTAAAACTGAGTCTCTTATTTTCACTCGGCATAATGATAAAGAGAGGATGAAAATTAATAATCAGATGGTTAAACGTGTAACACTTGTGTTGCTTCTTGTTGCTTAAGGAAAGGGTCAAGTTAGTATTGGACAGTTTAAAAGGGGTTCCCTGTTACCTTTTTCATACAGGATTAAATGTATCTTTTCTTTTCTGGGAAAGTAGGCACTACTTTGGGGTAGATGAAAAGCAAAGGTGAACATTCAAAAGGTGATGCAGGGAGTAATATAGATACCAAAAGAGAGCATCACCGAAACAAGCCACTGACTGGATAAACTTTGTTGTCGCTTAAAACCAGTAAACCAACTTTGTTAGACAAATTTGACCATGAATTCTCCTGCAAGAGAGGATACTGGAAAAACATCTCAATGTTACAAAATAAAGTAGTTATCAACAATGTGTTATTGGTCGCATGTTACGGTGACGGCACAAACTACACATCAAGATATGCTGGAGGCAATGGCACTTAGGTATTGCCATCACAAGAATAGAAACAGAGAAAGACCTGCACTTTCCAAACACAAGATACAGGGGTTTTTGACAAAAGATACCAGCCCTAACTTTCATGACTGGTCTGACTGTTGACGAGGGTAGAATTGGCTTTCGAAAGAAAAGACAAGTGCAAAGATGTCTGGTCTATTTAATATTTACATTCTTGAAGCAGTATAAATAAGTGAGAAATTTTCACATTTTCGCACGACACTCAAATATGAGGTAGATCTGCCCCAGGTTTGCTGTCGACCTTATAATTTGCTCTGTCACTGTCATTTAGAGGAAAAAACTCAGTATAGGACAACTGGCGGAGGCTATGAAATACCATCACTTTATCTTCTAAGCAAGAAGGCAAGTTCACCTATGAAGTAGTATAACTGTTTTGTATGTTGTGAGCTCACCTCCACAAGATCACCTCCCTTAGCAACAATCCGCTTAATAAAGACATCTTCATCAGTGTATCCTACTTCCTGAAGCACTGGAGGACTCTTAAAAATAACTATGTCGTTGGGACATGGCTTTCTGAAATAGTAAGAGACCTGTAAATAATAAGATTGCAATAGTTTGTGAAGGAAATGACTTTGAATTTACATGGACTAGTCATATACTAAATGCACAATAAAATAGAGGGCAGGTTTGAATGGGAATAAAAGGCAACCTATGCAGAATCTTGGAACACCACTGGTACCCTTAGATCAATTGTATCGATACGATTGCATTCAAATGGAACTAAAAGAATTATGGTTTAAGAGAAGAATCAAGATAGAATTTGCTCTTAAGATGTAGTGTATACAAACAAGTTTAGCAACACTAACCTAGTCTAAAGTAAGGTGTGCATGCAGAGGCAAAGCCAGAATTTCAATCTTATGGGTTCTGGATTTCAGAACGACGACTTCAAGTGTTAATTGATTGGATTCTAAATTTAATAATGTGTGCATACTCAATGAATTCTAAACACCAAATAAACTATAGGAGCAAAAGCTATTGAGTTTGCCCGAACTTGCAGCTCGGCTTATGCCTCCGCCCTGGGTGCATGTCTATTTAAAACATAGGAAGCTATTTGGTGTTGTGCTCCACGGAACTCAAGAAGACAAACAAAAAAAAAAATCATTATGCTATAAACAAAGAGACAGGCATAAGTCGGAACAGCATTCCTTAATTCAGCTTTTAGAACCGCATCCCTTGATACATTCAATTTCAGATTCAACACTTAGGCTCTTAAATGACAGCAAAAAATCCAGCATAATTCTGCATTCTTTCTCCAATAGCAGATGTACGAATATCAAAATATGGATGGAAATCCAGCAAAAGGTTTGTAAATATTACCTTTTCAGCAACAAGTCGATCTCCAACATCGAAAGTGGGATACATAGACAAAGAAGGAATATATCTAGGCTCAGCCACAAAGGACCTAAAGGCAAGCGATATAGCCAATGCTGCAAAAACTGTTTTTGCATCATCTGAACTAAAATCCAGCCATTCTGGGAGAAACCCATTTTGCTTCTCCGCCTTTTCATCATCTCCACCACCACCATCACCATCACCACCTCCTCCGCCGCCGTGGTCCAAGACAACCTTATTAGTCTCTTCGTTGGAACCTTTAACCCCATTGCATTTAAAGCTCTGAAATTGAGATTTTCTATAGCCTGACTGCTTGAAAGATTGACACTTTGGCGATTTTAACAAGAATCTGGAAAGTGTATGGTTGAATTGAAGGGGTTTAGACAAAGGGTTGAAGTTTATAGAGTGGACAGAGTTGAAGTAAGGGTTTTGTGAAGGTAATGGAGGGAGGAGCTTTAGAGTTATCATTGGATGGAGACTCAAATATTTCTGCAATTATACACAGAGTGAGAGTTCCCCTCCAATATACGTTGAAACTGAATTGGCAGTTAATACCCTGAGGTAATCTTCTTTACATTTTCCCCAAGTCCCTTTTCTTCTTTTCTTTTCTTTTTAAATTTCTTTTTGGCCTTTTTTCTGTTGAAGGGATATGTTATTGTTCTCACTTTTTTGTTTGATCACTTAAAATTTCAGAATTCTTCAGGATAGATCCAACTGTTGTCACAAGAAAAAAGAATTTGAATATTGATTTTTGAAAAGTACAAGATATAGACAATAGATGTGGTAATTCATGTTGACGTTGTAGGATGATACATTCAGTAAGTACAATGGATATTTTTGTGAAAATATATATATGGACATTTTGGATGAAGAAAAAGTGAATGGACGAAGAGGATAAAAGACACTTCTAGGAGGATTTAGACGGGTTGGTGAATGGAATTTCGCACACCGAAAAGCTAATAGGAGGAAATTTTAATGACCACATCGGGACGACTTCTAGGGATTATGACGATGTGCATGGGGCTTCGATTTTGGCGATAAAAACGTAGGAGGAACTTCAAAATTCAAGTGTGCTAAAGCTTTTGATTTTAGGATTTCTTACTCGTATTTTTCGAAGAAGGAGGAGCATTTGGTCACATTTCAGAGTACGGTGGCCAAAATCCAGATTGATTATGAACTGCTTAGGATGTATGATACATGTCTTTGCACGAATTATACGGTTATCTCGAGTGAGGATCTCCCGACTCAACATAGGCTATTGGTTATGGGTTAGAGATTATGAGGAAAAGGAAGAAGAGGGATGTGTATGGTCAACCTAGGATCAGGTGGTGTGCCTTGACCAAGGACAAAGCTCAGCATACGGGAGAAAATTTACTGGCTATAGGGCCTAGAGGAGTAGTGGAGACGTGAATACTATGTGGATTGTCATGACCCAATTCCTACCATAGGTCGTGATGGCGCCAAACACTGATGTTAGGCAAGCCAAAAAATTAATCAACACGCCAACCGATAGTCCATAACATATCTAAAAATGCAACAACTATAATGATATCAAGCTTTAAAGCCATACTATAAAAGTTTGGTAGAGAGTGGTAGAAGTGAAGGTGAGGAGGTTTGTGTCTATTTTTGAGAACCAGTTAGGGTTCATGTCGGGTCGTTTGACTACGGAAGTCATTCACCTTGTATGGACATTGGTGGAGCAGTATGGGAAGATGAAGAAGGACTTGCATAGGGTATTTATTATTCTGAAAAAAGCATACAACACAGTCTCGAGAGAGATTCTATGGAGAAGGTTGGAGAATAGAGACGTGGTTATAGCCTACATTAGGGTGATTAAGGACATTTATGATGGAGCTAAGCCCTAGGTAAGGTCAGTGAGAGGAGACTCAAAATACTTTCCAGTTGTGATAGGTTTGCATTAGAGATCAGGTCCATATTTATTTCCTTAGCAATCAATACACTGACGCAACATAATCCAACTTAGGTTCCATGGTGTATGTTATTTGCAGATGATATTTTTCTGATTGACGAAACACGAGGTGGTATTAACAACAGGCCGGAGGTTTGAAACAAACCATAGAGTCTAAAGATTTCAAGTTGATCAGGACCAAGACAGAATATTTGGAGTGTAATTTTCGCTACATGACCCAGGTAGCAGAAAGGAATAAGGCTTGGTAAACAAGTCATCCCCAAGAGAGGAAGTTTCAAGCACATTAGGTCAGTAATACAAGAAAATGGAAAAATTGATTAGGATGTTACAAATCGTATTGGAGCAGGATGGATGAATTGGAGGCACATCGGTGTCCTGTGTGATAAGAATGTACTAATAAAACGTAAAGGTAAATCTACAAAGTGGTGGTTAGACCGACAAGGTTATATGGGGAAAAGTGTTGGCCAGTTAAGAACTCTCATGTGCTGAATTTAGGATTTGAGATGGATGTGCGGGCATACTATGTTAGATAAGACTAGGAATGAAAATTTTCCGGAGAAGGTAGGAGTGGCCCCTGTGGAGGTCAAGATGCGGGAGGTGAGGCTGCAATGATTCAAGCGTTTGAAGAGGAGAAGCACAAATGATCCAGTTAGGAGGTGTGAGAGGTTGGCCTTGATGGGTATGAAAAGAGGTAGAGGTAGGCCAAAGAAGTATTCGAGAGAAGTGATTAGGCAGGACATGACACATCTTAAGTTTCCTAGAATATGACCCTTGATATGAGAGTGTGGAGGTCAAGAATTAAGGTAGAGTTTAGAAGGTAGTTGAGCATTTTTCTTTTTCTTTTTCGTATCGGTAGTTTTAGTGTTAGTATTTTATCTGTTATTCTTAGATTGCTATTACTACCTACTGTTGATTGTCATCTGTCGCTTCGCTTTTTTATAATATTTTTTTTATTATTATTGTTACTGCTTGTTGTCACTGCTTCTTTTTTTTTTATAGCCAGAGGTGTATTAGAAACAACCTCTCCGCCCTCCGTTGTAGGGGTAGAGTCTGCTTACACACTATCCTCCCCAAATCCTACTTGTGAAAATTTATTGGATTTTTTGTCGTTGTTGTTGTAGTTATAGTATTTGGTAATTATTTGGATCAAAGAAAAAGATATATGGTAAGCATAAGCAGAAAGACATTCTGCAAATAGCACATTATTATTTCTTCCGATAGTAATGCTGTAATTAAATTCCATGTTTTCCCCCAAATCTTGGATTCCCTTTTCCGTTTTGGAATATACTATATGCGTATCGTTGCAAACCAAAAAGAGCACTAAACCTAGTTAGATTGTGCGAGCTTAATTGCACATTAATTGCCATATTAATGATACAATTGATACCGTGAAGTCAAAAGAGAATTTTTATACCGGCTTTTCTGAATATTTTTACAACGGCTATTCTGAATCTAACTAATGTCTTATTATGTAGGTCTCGTAAAAGTTCACCAAGGATTTACGGATTTGTGGACTGTGCAATATGTCGCGGAATGGGTGGAAGAATTGGCGCATAAGAGGGCGATTCTACGGTCAGTTATGTGAACGGCAAATCGGATCCCCTGACTGCGGAATTATCGCGGATTGGGACAGAAGCAAACTAGATGTTGAAGGTCATTTCGCGGTGGGATATGCCGACCGTATAGCTGTTTCGCGGATCGCAAATCCATCAAGGAATTGGTCAGGCCACCTAAAAAAATTTGAAGGAGATTTCGCAGTTCAATGTGTAGACCGCAGAGCTATTAAACAGACAGCATATCCGCCGCAAACGTGTCCAGTTCCAACCCAAAATCGATGAACATTTCGTAGTCCATTTCGTGGACTGCAGAGGCATTTTGCGGTTCATGCCGCAATCGCAAACTTGACTCGGAGAGGTATTTTTGAGAAAATCCTAACCCGATTTTTTTTAATAGAAGGGGATAAGGAGTTATTGTAGAGGGGAAATTTGGTATTTGAGAGAGTGTGTCATTCTAGAGAGCGAGAGCGAAGCTCCAATCTTTCATACTCTTCAATTTCTTGCCATTCTTGGAGATTCAAAGGGGAAAACTCACAAGGTCTTCAAGTAACCTGGTTAGGTTTCATCCCTATGTAACGACCCGGCCGGTCGTTTTTGAAGTTTACGCCCCGATCCCCCATTAACTGCTTCCCCTAAGTTTATTTCTGCTATTTTGGTTTGCCGGGACGTTCGGTATTAGGATTCGGAGTGTTTTGGGATACTTAGTCCCTAAATGAGAGCTTAAGTGTTGAAAAATGGTCCGTAGTCGGAACAGTATGAAGACGACCTCGAAATGGAAATCCAATGGTTCTGTTAGCTCCGTTAGGTGATTCTGGGGGTTGGGAGCGTGTTCGGTATGTATTTTGGAAGTCCGTAGCTCATTTAGGCTTGAAATGACGAAGTTTGTATTTTTGAAGTTCCGGTCCGATAGCGAGTTTTTGATCTGAGGGTCGGAATGGAATTCCGAAGGTTGCAGTAGCTCCGTCATGTCATTTGGGAAGTGTGTGCAAAATTTCAGGTCATTCGGACGTGTTTTGGTTAGGTTTTTGATCGAAATTGTATTTGGAAGAAATTTGAAGTTCTTAGGCTTGAATCTTTGATTAAATCGGTTTCCGGTGTTGTTTTAGGTGTTTTAAGGATTGGTACAAGTTCGAATAAGGTATTAGGTGGTATTGGTGCTTTTGGTTAAGGTCACGGGGGCCTCGGGATGATTTCGGGTGGTTAACGGAGAAAATTTCTAAGTGTTGCAGCAGCTGGTATTTTCGCTTCTGTGGCCTGGGAACTGCAGAAGCGGAGTCGCAGAAGCGGCCTTGGATGTCGCAGAAGCGACTTTTGGTCACCCTCCAGGAAACCGCAGAAGCGGATCCGCTTCTGCGAGATGGGAACCGCAGGAGCGGAAGCTGGGACTTTTAAAGGGAGCCGCAGAAGCGGCCAGTGCTTCGCATAGGCGGTACCGCAGAAGCGGTCCCTAGACCGTAGAAGCGGTATTCACTGTTCAGATATAGCAATTTCGAGGGTTTAATTTCATAAGTTTGAAAAATCGATTGAGAGCTCGGGAGAAGGCGTTTTTGAGTGGGTTTTGAGGAGAAAATCATTGGGTAACGTTTCTTTGATCCTTTTTTGTTATATTTCATCATTATATAGTTAAATACATCATGGGAATTCGAATTTTGGACCAAAAATTGGATAATTTGGGGTAAAACTTCATTGGCTAGACTATTGAGTTTTGAGTGGGCATTTGACCTCCAATTTGGGAGATTTTTATATGGTTAGACTCGTGAGAGTACGAGGGTTCTAAAAATATGAAAATTATTCTATTCCGAGACGTTGACTTGAGGGGAATTTTGGTCATTTTATCTATTTTCGCGCCCTAGCTTTAATTTTAATAGCGGAATCAGTTGTTTGCAATATTATTTACGATATGTAATTGAATTGAATAGATTTGGGCCATTTGGAGTCGGATACTCGTGGCAAAGGCATGGTTTCTATTGATATCGAGCCGGTTCGAGGTAAGTGGCTTGTCTAACCTTGTGTGGGGGACTTTTCCCCTTAGGATTGTTTTCTTGATATTTGAGTGCCTTGTACGTGAGGTGACGAGCGCGTACTTGAGCCGATTGATGAAAATCCGGTTTTCACTTAAGTTGTTGATACTTGGCTTTCTTTCCTACTTGCCTTACCCACTTGAAATTATACTTGTGCTAGATTTGGAAAGCATGTTTAGCTGACTTAACTGCCTAATTGCTTGAGTTGTTTGACTGTACTACGTGAAGCATGCTAGGCTAATTCTATTTGTTGCTCTGTCTTTCGTACTTTATTCCTTGGTTTGTTTCTGGCTGTG